GTAGCTGCACGTCCGTGCCAATATCTGCACGTCCGTGCGGAACTGCTCGATTCTTAGCAGTACGTTCTGCCTCAATTCTGCCCCCTCTGCACGTCCGTGCCAAACTTGGCACGGCCGTGCTTAGCCTTGCACGTCCGTGCCAAATCTGGCACGTCCGTGCAGACCTGCAGTCGAACTCCTTCCTTGTTTTCTCCGTCCTTTTTATTTGGGGGTCATATAAATACCCCTTTAGAGCTCATTTGTACGGGGGAGGCAGTTTTTCAGAGCTTTTCTCTTAGTTTGTAGTCTTAGAACATTAAATTCTCAAATCATTAGTTAGTTCTCAATTATTAGCTTGGAATTATTCAAATTCAATCATTGTAGAAGACAAAATCCACCATTGTTGCTCACCTTGAAGCTTCATAGTAACCATTTCTTACTCATCTTTTCTACTTCTCTTTACTTTGTTGTTAATTATTTGCTAGTTCTTGCATGATTTGGATTGTTAATTAGCTTAATCCTTAGTTTGAATTTGTTCATGAATTGCTTGAAATCTTTAATTGCTTTAACCCCCATGGATTGTGAGTAGTCTAAATTCTAGGGTTTGGGCAAAACCCTCAATGTAGTCACTAATTACTTGTTGCATGTGCTAATTTGGTTGTTGTGGGATGTTAATTAGTTGAGCTTAAGTGGTTTAATTGCTTAGTTCTTGTATATGGCCATTGCTAGAACTATTTATCCAAGCTTTCTCAACGAAGGATCGAGAGATGAACTTGAGTTAGCTCCCTTATGCTTGATTGACCCGAAATGCCATGAGAATAGGGATTACCGGTCAAGGGAATGTTTATGTCATCGTGATTATGCTTTAACACTTGTTTTATGCTATGTAACCACGAGAGTAGGTCGTATTCATGATTCAAGTAATCCCTCTAGCTTGAGAGAGTAGTTGGGTGCTTTAGATGACTTCCCCTAATTTATCCCATTAATTTACCTTGATTGTTGCATGCTAATTGTGATTTGTGATGAAGTTGAGTGGTATAACCCAAGCCCTAGATTCCTCTTAATATTGTTAACCTCCTCTTAGCTTAGTTGAATTGTGTTAGAAGAAGTTACTAAAAACCAACCCAATTTAGAATTCGTTTAGCTTATTTAAACGGTAGTACTCGGTGGTTGATTCAACGCCTCTCTTGGGTTCGACCCTTTCTTACCCTTACTATTGTTAGTGAGACCAAGATAGGAATTATTATCTTTGGTAGGCTCGACGACGGCCTATCAATATACTTAATGGTCTTTAGAACCTATTGATCTATCATGCTTCAGACGTGCTATAGGTTCCTCAGCAATTGATGTTGTCCTTCTAGGACATCAATTTTAAATTAGAGCATTTACAACTAGTATATGATCAATGACATTTATTTATATCCATCTGCAGGATGATATCATTTCAAAATATTTAATTAAAATGTGACCACTTCTATGAAATAAATCATTAATATTTAAGTTAATGTATGTACCAAACTGACCATCAATATATTTTATTACTTATGTGCAAGGATTACATAAATTAATGGAATAATTACAATCCCCCCCTAATCCTTGCATGTGGGGCATGAAATGAATTCAACAACCTTTAAATCTCTTTCACCTTTTAAAGCATAAATTCTTTTACCAATGCATGTATCAAGCATAATAAAATTATTCTTATATACTCTTACTTGTAACTCTTGCCCAACTATATTAATCTCTTATAAGTATGGATATAATAAATATATTTTTTCAAGTTAGTTGCTCACAATGTCATGTCTAATTTTTTAAACTCATAAACATTATTTCTCGGTCAAATAGTTGATATATAATCATGTTAGCAATTATAATTAAACTTTTCAATGATTTTAATAACAAAAACATCATGCAAACATGTTTCTTTCCAATCATACAAATTCTCATTCACTTCTGGGAGTAGGGGTGTACAAAAATTGGCCCGGACCTGAACCGACCTGAACCGGACCGGACCTGACCCAGACCTGTTGATTCAGGTCCAGTCCCGGTTCTTAAAAATCCAGGTTCCCGGTCCCGGTCCGGACCCGGTCCAAACCCGGGGTTTTCAGGTCCGGACCTGAAACCCGGGAAAATAGTAATTAAAAAAAAAAAAAAAAAAAAAAGAAAACCAAACTCTGAAAAATTGAAACTGAGTTTTCGTGGACTTATTTGTATTTTCGGTGGACTCATTTGTATTTTTGGTGTTTGAGAATCGGGACTTTATAGACTTTATGTAGTTTTGTAATTGATAATTTTGGTTTGTATGTAATTATTAAATTATGCAACAGGTCTAAAAATCACAAAACAGGTCCATATGCAGGTCCAACAGGTTTTGTATTAAAAAAAAAAACGAAAAAGACACAAAACAGGTCCATTCAGGTCCAAACCCGGACCGGACTTGATTTTTCAGGTCTGGCCCGGAACCGGACCTGTTAATTCAGGTCCGGTCCCCGGTCCTCATAATTACCCAATTCAGGTCCCCGGTCCAAACAGGTCCGGTCCGGTTTTGGACCGGTGTACACCCTTATCTGGGAGTGAGTAAATCTAGTAATTATAAATCATCAATTTTGATTCAGAGTTCGATATACTATTCAATAACTTTTGTATATTCTTTCTCATGACACTATGTTTATAAAATCACATTAGTATTGTGAAACTAACAGAATTTCTAAGTCACATATGTATCTTCATATTATCTTTTGAGGGTTTTTAAACCTTCATAAATTTAAGGAACTTCAGGTTCATATGTATGAGTATTTCATGTTCAACCTATTCATCATTTCTATAATCCAAATTAATAATGTTGGCATATAATATCATGTATATTGAAATCAATCACCCATCACTCAATAATTTCAATGTTGAAAAAGGCATTATGTTTCATAATAGGTTCCACTTATAAGGTTACTGACAATATGACCATATATGGTACATACCTAGTTAATGTCAATTATAATGCATGTACTTGAGATAGTTCAAAGTACTAAAAGAACAATATTTGAAACTTCAAGTCCCAGAAATGGAGAGAGATATGTAATTATAGAGTATTAGATTGCAAGTTACTAGTATGACACTATATGTCTGGATCGATCATTTCGTAAATATCTTATATATCTCATGTAATAGTCATTATTGTCATCACAAACTATTGTTCATCAATCAAATCCATTCCCATCTAATTAACAAAATAAAAGAATTTCAACATTGTAGGTGGAAAAACAAGATAGATTGTGATTAACATAATTTGAGGTCAACTAGAAAAATAAAGAGTGTTGACATCTAGTCAAACATCATAGGCTTGTGAAAGGGAATTGGAATCATATATATTTAGTTGCATAATATAAAGTTATAAATATGTAATTGTTGAACCCACAAATCACGATTTAAGCAAGTATATAGTATTATTTTAGTGACCATGCATAAATTTAGTTGATATTCATATAACCTGTATATATAATTCACAAAAGTAATATGAAGTATGTTAGTATTTGATGCAAATTAATATGAAGTATGTTATGCAAATTAATTAGAGATAATTCTCTATAGTCTGCAATTGTTTCTTTGCATTAGATGCAGTATATACACAATGCCATCAAGTAAAACATTGGGCTGCAAGACAAGTAAGGACAACTAGGAAAATCAAACATTATGATTTTCTAAGACGAAACTAGTGTCAATAAGATTTCTTTCAAAACATTTGGTTCTTTACATTGCATGCTTACTAGTAGACTAGAGAGAACGAAATATCAACTATATGACACTTCAAGATCAGCATTAACTAACTCTCAAGGATAAGGATTAAAACACATTAACAAGTTAAAGATTATGTCTTGAGTGTTAACATGCAACGTAAGTACAAAGTACAATATATAATAATATGAACATAATAAACCAATAAAAGACAAACTAAACATATAATTAGCCCATAGGTGTATAGGATCATGGAAAGTCATGATAAATTTGATAATTTGATTTAACAAGTATAGTTGAACGTATTAAGTTGCGGCTGAACATAAAACACAGTAGAAAAAGTATAATAGATATATACAAGATAAAGTAACTTAAAATTAATTAACATAAGTAAATATAATTTATATGTAATCTAGAGATTAAAACACCCATCATCCAATAGACTAGTAATACTTATATCATGGTTTATCGTATTAAGGAAAGAAGATCATAAATCAAACATAATAATCATTAAATTAAAAGGCAATAAATTCAATAACATGCTCCAACGCTATACAAAATCGATCATTCGCCATATAAACAATTACGCAAAACATCATGTAATCAATAAATAGTAACAATAACATAATAGATGAATAAAAAATAATATCATTATAAAGTTTGTATAATTAAAGGGCCTATAAATTAACACGAAACAATTTATTACTACTCGTAAATCATAAAATAAGGCCAGGTCTTTCTAAAACTCTTTAGAATATCAATTACGATAATTGCAAAATGAATTTCATACGAAGTATGTACCAAAAATTCCCAATTCACTTTACTGAACTCTGCACTCAAAAAGTCGAAAACCCTCGAAGAGTGAAATAATTCAAAATATGAGTTACGACACATTAAAATTATGCTTTTAGCTATCTTTCAACCATTAATAATTTTCTTAAGTTTATCAAATCAACCAAAAAAAATAAAATCTGACAGATTATACTTTGCTAATAAATTAATAATAGTGCCATGGTATTATACCAATACAAAAGCAAATTTCAAATTAACACAGAATATTAGGTAAATAACAAACCATTGGGAGGAAAAACGTACCTTTTTTCGATCAAATTGGCAAGATTATCAAGGTACAATCATGATCTTTAATATAATGTTCGGGTAAAGCCGTGGTGCTGATAACGTGTTGTGAAATAGGGAGAAACATGAGAGATTGAAAGAGAATTAATATGTATAGCTTTATTTCATATAATGGGGGTATATATACATATAACATAATTAAGATTTGTTTGGATAACAATAAACTCTAAATCTAGAATATTCTGAATAATACAAGAAAGATATGGGCATCCACCCAATCTTTCATACCAAAAACCTGATATTAAGAAATTGTGAATTCCAATTAAAAAAATTCAAAATTCAAATGCTGTTCACTCTTCTTCAACCCCAACTCTCTTCTTCTTCCCTCCCTCGTATTCTTCTTCAAATTCAACCCACCAAAAACCCTAACAAAACCCTTATAATCCCTAATCTCAAATTCAAAATTCTCTCTTCTTTTTCATCAACCATGTCTTCTTCTTCTCCTTCTTCATCTTCTTGGGCTTGCTCTAAATGCACATTTCTCAACCCACCTTCCCAAAAATCAAACTGTCAAATTTGCCAAACTCCATTTTCTCTCTCCTCTTCTTCATCACCCTCTAAATGGGCCTGCAAAGCTTGCACCTTTCTCAATTCTTACAGTCTTTCAAATTGCGAAATTTGCGACACTCGATCCAATTTGCAAGAATTGGATTCTATTGACCCGGATGATGATGATCTTTCTGGAGTTTCTTCTGTGGGTTCAGTGTTTTTTCCATTGCGCCGTTGTAATTCGGGTCGGGTTCAAGAACCCGATGATTCGGGTACTAAGGAAAATGTTCAATCTCAAATGGGTGTTGGTCAATTTGTTGATCAAGTTGTTCATTTGGGTGGGCTTCGGAATTCGGGTTCTAATAAGCGTAAATTCCATGACCTAGGTTCTGGTTAGTATGAACTAAACTTTGTGTTACGTTTTTTTACTAGTATTTTAATTTTTTAAATATTTGTATTTTTGATTGATTGTTAATGTTTGTTTGATTGGCACAATATTGTGTGCATGATATCACTAAGTGTCATATTGAATCAAATGAGGTTACTTGATCCATAGATCCCCCATTGGTTATTGGTAAAGTGAGAGCTTTGAAAATGATTATGGATTGTACTTTGCATTATATAAAACAAGTGATTGAATCCCGTGACTTGATTACCTTACGCTCTTAAATGACTTAACTAAGAGAGTTGACATCGACAAAGTATTTGTTTATGCTCCATTGGTCTCTACTAATTATAAAAAGATATAAGTATTAAAAACATGTTGAATAACCATTGTTTTTTAATTTTTTACTCGTAGTAAACTTCATTTCTTTATTTTAATTGATAATTTACCTAATTATCTACTCGTGATAAAGATTTCTTTTATAATTTTTCATTTGTAAATTGAATTCATTCTAATGCATTAGCACAAGTATGCTCTAGTATTATATACGGAGTAACATGGATTATTGCCCGGTTAAGGCATCTTTTGGTGGGCAAAACCCTTAAAAGTCAAAAACATTTGTTCCATCAACAAAGAGAAAGAAAAGATAAGGAAAAAGAGGGTGCCTTGACTAGTAGCAAAGAAAAAAAAGAGGAGCATTTTGAGTTATGACTAATTCACGCGGTTATATGGGTACCACTGTACCTTTAAACCCTAGCTTTCCCTCTCTTCTATAAATCCAACCGTTCATTTCATTTTCTATCTTCTAAACCAAAATGTCCATTATTTCCTTCCAAATTCCAAGCATTGGTGAAATGAACAAAGAGAAGTAGTGGGAATGGGAGATTAGTCTACAGGAAGTAATGGGTATGGTGTGCTTGGGAAGGAGTATGGAATCCAATTCACTCATTTTTGGGTTTTGGAATGAAATTCCTTCCCAAGACCCCCCATACCAATGATTTTCTGTGGGTTTTCCCTTTCCCAGAACTTTTCACATTATTTTGTTTCCAAAGGTTTAAACTTTTTCTGGTTTTTCTTATAGCAGTATCTGTTGGCCTAAGATCAATTTTTTTTGGCTGAATTTGATATTTCTTTTCTATGATCAAATATGGGTTATTTGCAGTCTTATGTTTAATTTCATTTCTGGCTATTGGTGGGTTTTATTTTTATTTTATATTTATGTGATTGATCTCTTATACTATGATCAATTTTTTATGTGATTATTTTATTTAGCTCTAAGTCTATGCTTTTGTCTTTTAACCTTTGTGGTTGTTTGTACAAGTGTTAGCTGCTATCACTGGATCTTAATTTTGTCCAATTTTACTTTCTTATGACTATAATTGGACTCTCTGAACTTATACTAAACTTGTAATTAACCCCTACTAACTTCTAATGGTATCTCGCTTGACTCTTTTGAGCATGATTTATTAAGCCGCAAAGTAATATTTTGTTATTGTTATACTTAATGTTTCCTGTTAACCTTGAACATCTGCTGTAATTGTAATCCGTATTTGCTCAGACTTGGGACTTTGGGAGCTTTTATCAGAAATATAAAACATTAGTGTCATTATTTGAGTAAGACTTGGATATTTGATGAATATTTTCCTTGATTTTGGGTTAAAATGAATTGAATTGTCCATATTTCCATACTTGTGTTTTGGTGTCAATGATCTGACATTGGCACTTGTCTACTTGATGTAATTTGAATAGTCTGAGTAACATTGTTACATAGGTAGAAACATTGTTACTTTGTACTTGATGTTTTCAAGTTCACACAAACTGATGTATACTTGGTATGATTTACCTTTGATGGACTTCAAGAATTAGTTTGACTTGGAGTAGTAGGCTACTTGGTGTGAAATGTTTATTGCAAGTAAAATATTTAGTGAATAGCTATTATTAGAAGTTAGGGGGTTGATTACAGTAATCGACATTATCTGTTTTGCTACCTAAGCTGCCCAAAGCTCATGTGATTGTTTTTTTTTGGGTGGATGGTGATTCAAAGCCTTCTTAATATTTATGTTGATGTACTAGGTAGGAGTGTAGGACATGGTTACGCAAACTCAGGCTACTTACGCTACTTGTCATGATTTGGAGCAACTGAATCGTATGGCTTTTCATTACATGGATTCCATTAATTCATATTTTCAGCGATATCAATTAAGACTGATAGATTAAAGCTCAGACGGGTGTATAACTGTAGATTGATTCCAAATTGCATTATCTTGTACTTCACAGTTTACTTGTCAAAGAGAAGTGTTAAATTCTATCCAAGCAAACTGTTTTACACAAAATGTAGTAATTAACTTATCAAATTTATTACAGTGTTTACTAAAGACTTTGTTTGATCCAATGAAAAGAAATAATTCCCGCAATTATGTGCTCACTGGAACTTTCCATTGATCTTTAAATATATATAGTTAGGTCAGTCTCTTATTTCATCTTGATATACACTTCAATATTGAACGGCCAAAAGGTGAGCTTCAACTTTGTGCGATCCAGTCGATCGCCTGTAGGCTGTTGCTAACTCTAAATCTTATATACGGATGGCACAAAGTGCTCTAATCTGTTCTTTGTCAAAGTCCTCTTTTTTATTCTTGTTTTAGGCCTATTGCTGCTTGCTCCAATTCATCTTTATGAATTTCAGAGCTAACACCATCTTCCTGACCCTAGAACCAAAATAAATGGAAACATAAATACACGCATGCAAAAACGAAAAAAGATTTCATCTGCATTCAGATGAATCTTAGGGCTCATTTTTTACATGTTTATAAGTTTCTCATGACTTCCAAGTTCTGATTTTTTTTGGAATTTAAGCTGTGCTTCCCATAAAGTTTTTCAATGTTAGACTATTTAGCTCCATATAGGAAGTTTAGGAAGTTCTACATGGACTACATCCTTCAGGAAGTTTCCCTTTACCTGGGAACTAGGCAAGAAACTTATTCCATACATGTATCTTTGACAACTAATCATTTCCTTCATTTTTTCTTCTCGCCAAACCACCAAGTCTGTCGTCTAAATCGCTAATTTTCATATATGTAGGTGTTTGAACAACAATTGATTTAGGACCCTGTAGAATAAAGTTGCTGAGCGTTTTGTTATCTATAATCATATTGCAAGATACAAATCAATGTTGCTATCTAAGACTAGTGTATGGGCATTATTGTTTACATATTGCTATGATTTCACACCTCACAACACTGGGAGGATAATGGGGGAATGTTTCATTTCAAATGAGGTTTCATGATCATGAATGCATATAATTACTGGGTGATTTGTATGGCAGATAACGCCGATGCTGTCAGTTGTCTTGCTACAAAGAAAGAAGAAAAGACTGTAGCAATTAAGAGTTCCGAGTTGGCAAAGATTGCTGACAATGCTGTGGGCAATGCCTCATTCAAGAGGAAACTCTGTGATTTAGGTGGTTTTATTGAGAAACCCATCATAGTAGATGGATTTCGCGAAGTTAAATCTTCCAGAAAGATTGTTTCGGTTGAAGGTTAGTGCAAATTTTGTAGGATGCTTTGAAACTCATATAAGTTGCTTCTTTTATGTTTCTAATTCCCACGGTCGATTTCTTAAATCCACTTCTGAAGCTAAACTAACTCAGATTACAAATACTTCCATGGGAACTACTGATTAATTTGAATGTGTTAACAATTTTGCGTTGTCTTCCTTTATTAAGTGATTTTTTATTAGTCGCTTGGTTGTTATCCCTATTCATTTTCATGAAATTCAGGCTCCCTAAAGTTCTTACAATTAAAGTTCTTTGCAGAATATATTTCATTATGGGAACTACTGTATCTTGACATCTTGTGCCTTGGATTTGGCAAAAAATGATATATGATTTTACTTTGTGCTTCAGGTTCTGAAAATGGCTTTGACTTAGAGGTCGGAAAGGCCAAAACAGGTGCTTCAGTTTCCAAGGAAATTGCTGAAAATACTGAAATTGAGGAAGTTTCAGGTGTGATAAAGATCCTTTCATACAATGTGTGGTTCAACGAAGAATTGGAGGTGCATAAGAGGATGCAAGCAATTGGCGACCTTATTCAGCTACACTCTCCTGATGTTATCTGTTTTCAGGTTTCTATTTGTGGTTTTACAATTTCATGAGATAACTGCTGTTTATTTCTATGATTTGTAGCATCTGTAACTTGTTTGTATTTGGCTTTTTAGGAGGTCACTCCCAATATCTATGACATTTTTCGAAAATCTAAATGGTGGAAGAAATATCAGTGCTCTGTCACCTATGAACGGGCATCCTCTGAGATGTACTATTGCATACAGGTGAATAATTTCAGTTCCCCATTTGACCTTTTCACCTGGAATCTTTTTCACTTAACAAGTTGTGATTATGTAGCAGGATAGACCTTACAATTTTTCCATCATTTTTCTTCACAAGTCCGTTTTTATTGTGTATATGCTGGTAATGCTGCTTAAGATTGATCTGACATGTATATAATGGCCCCTTGCTCATCTATTCCAATATTTTAAAGTTATTGTTACATTACTCGGTGATCCAAAATCCGATCAGGAACACCCCCCTCCCCCTTCAGACTGAGCTCTTGAAGACATTTTTACCTAAAAACTACTTTTACCTGTAAAATTACTGATAGATGGGTTTTTGACCCTAATATAACTCAAACTGATCTTATAGCCTGGATTTGCTCGTCCAACCAGACCTAGAGGTTTAAATGCATGTGATAATTGTTGTAGTTTCCCTATGTCGTGATTCTGTAACTATTGGGGTTTGTAAGCTTTTTCTGGGTCTTATGTCTACTAATTGCTAGTTGTTGCGACTTCCTAATTCATTAAATTTCATTGAACACTGCTAGTCAGAGGCCTCAAAGCTGACTATTATCCTATAATTTTCTCTAAATATTTCTCTGCATTTGTAGCCTGTAATTTAATGTTTTTTTTTTCTGCAGTTGGCCAAACTTCCTGTAAAATCATTCAGTCGTAAACCATTCAGTAACTCACAAATGTGCAGAGATTTGGGTATAGCTGAAATCGTAGTGAATCAAAACAAGTCGCTGGTGGTTGCTACTAGCCATCTTGAGAGTCCTACCCCAGGACCCCCAACATGGGATCAAATGAACAGTAAGGAAAGGGTTGAACAGGCAAAGGAGGCCATAAACCAGCTTAAAAGACATCCGAATGTCATATTCTGTGGTGATATGAACTGGGATGATAATCTTGATGGCCATTTTCCATTTCTGGAAGGATGGTTTGATGCTTGGGAGAGGCTGAGACCTGCTGAGATGGGATGGACATACGATACTAAGTCCAACAATATGTTGTCTGGAAACCGTAAATTGCAAAAACGGCTTGACAGATTTATTTGCCACTTGACTGATTTTAAGATCATCAGCATAGATATGATTGGAACTGAGGCAATACCAGGTTTGACATTCAGCAAACAGAAGAAACTGAAGAACAGGATTCAAGAATTGATTCTTCCAGTTTTTCCTAGTGATCACTTTGGTTTACTTTTGACCATTACTAGCAGTTAAGTAGTACGATGGCCAAGATTTTGTATAGGATAACAGGGTTACTACGCCTGTTTTTCCCTTTTCCCATGAATTTGTTGGCGTTGTTTAGGCAGGTCTTTTGTATAGCCGGAATGGATGTGTTTTTGTCAGAGAATTGTGCTCTGAGGTTTTGTATATGGATCTTCTGCTAGATTAAAAAGAATGATTTTTGTTCAACTCTTTCATTGTAATGAAATATGTTTTGAATACAAGATCTATTTGCTGCAGTAACTTCTGGCTATTAAGCGTATTAACAAGTTTAAAGGATCGCTATCCTTAGTACAGCCTCTCCTAACTAGGTGATCCAAATACTAGACAAATGAATTGCGGTATAAGTTTATGAGTAACTGCGTATTATGGCATGTGGCTAATTTAAACTAGCTATTCACTTCATAGTTCATACATTACGTACACTTGTTCAGTGATTCCTTAAAAAACAAGGTAAAAAATGCGGTGAGCGTGGATCGAACACGCGACCTTCAGATCTTCAGTCTGACGCTCTCCCAACTGAGCTATCCCCGCAAATTGTGAACTTTTGTAACGCAATTTATTTAAAATCTATTAAACTGTATTATTATTATGTCTCAACAAGTTCTTATGTTTTATACCGTAATACTTTCAAAAGCTTCTGAAGTTTGTCACCAGAAACTTTGAACATTATATTTAATGATCATTTGTAAATAATAAATTTAAATTAAAAAAAATGGTAATGGTACCAAATTTATTTTTGACTAGTGTTAAAGTAGGTTTGGATCATCTTAACTCCTACTAGGCTACTCCTCAGATTTATAAAACCAGGTGATTAGAATTCCCTCCTACTTATACCTAAGGTTGATAATCGAGCAAGGCAAGACTTGAGCTTGCTTTGCCAGCTAGGCTGGTTAAACTTTCATTCAAACTAGAGCCGAGTCACGAGTTATTAGTTAAGCTAAGCTGATCTGAGTAGTGATGTTGTGCTCATCTCTTGCATATATCGAGCTTCACTTAAATAGTTCTCGAACTAGCTTGACTCATTAACACCTATACCTATAAATGTACTCAAACCTATAAATATAAGGATCGAAATTACTCATCTTGTTATTAGTTAATTAGATTAATGAATGAGTTTAGAGTAATCAATAGACCAATAAAAGCAAATTGGAAATGACTGACAATGTGACAAATTATCAGTTGTCACAAATGCAAGTATTCAAACTAACACACAGTATTAGTATTGTATACTTAATACTTGTAATAAAGGTCAATGAGACTCAAATACAAAAAAATTACTACTAAGTATAAAATAATCTAAGCTCCATATAATAATTTTCTAAATATTGTTATACTATGAAACAAATACGGCTGTCCCAAGTTAAAACATGTGATATCCAGCCAGGCTTACAGTAAGAGCTCAGTTTTTTCTTTTTTTGACGGTGATTTTATTTGGTCCAAATTTTCCTTCAATCACTCCCTATTTTTCTATTAATTATTTGGTCATGAATTATGGAATTTGGGGTTTTCCATGTCCATGCCCTAGGACCTTTTTGTAGATCTTGAAATCTATGAGCATATCATAGTCCAAATTATGTCACTCAAATGATTTACAAAATAATTGACGTAAATATTTTAATGTATGCGTTTTTATAGTTATTTTAAAAGATAAAAAAAAAAAAAAAAAAAAACCGACCAATTTGGTGACATAATTTACGGGGTTTCCATCTGATTGCGGATGCCTCTATTCTCTTCGATCTTTTCAATGAGTTACGTCTAGTGCTTGATTTGAGTTTCTAACAAATTGGATAACTTAAAGGACAAATGCTCATTAATTCTATGATTCTATCCAAGGTTGGGATGCTTCTTCAACCATTTTCAAATGTTTAAATCAAGCATATATATGTGAGGCTATTATATTGCATTCCAAGTTATATAGAATGGTTAATACAACTGTCTAAAACGATACAGTATGTACATAATTGATGTACTTGATTACATGCTGATTTAGAATTCATACAACAATACACGATCAATATTTGATTAAATATTACTCCGTACTATTCCGATTTTAAAAGGAGAGAATAGGGGTGCTAATTGAGTTGAGCACCTCGCGAGCAACTCGAACTCGACTCGGTCAACGCTCGGTTAAAACTCGACTCAAATTCGACTCGACTTGAGATGTTAACGAGCACGAGTTGAGCAAACTCTAACTCGACTCGATAAGCTCGTGAGCAGCTCGATAATATATTTTATTAATATAGAATTTACAAACAAAGTTACCATGTTTTAACAAATTAGACACTTAATAAGTGTTAATTTTATTATAAAAAAGAAAGAGTAAATCTTTAATAATAAATATATAAAAAAAAAGAAAACAATGTAAAGTGAAAAAAATAATAATAATAAAGGCATATAATTATAGAAGGGCCAAAACTTTAACGAACAGATTGTGAGCTACTCGACTCAATTTGAAACTTTAACGAGCACGAGTCGAGCAGGTTTTATTAGCTCGAAATTTTAGCGAGCACAAGTTGAGCACATGTTAAAAGTTTTCGAGTTGTTCGAACACCCCTCAGCTCGTGATTGACTCGCTCGATAAGCACCCCTAAGAGAGAATATCCTATGAGTACTATATATTTCACTAGTCTGTTTTATTGTAGAAGTAAAATGACATTTTTTGTGTGGCATGATCTTTGTTTTGGACTCTAAATCCACTGTTTTTTGTTATTTTTTTTTTTGTTTTTTTTGAAAGGTAAAAAAAAATGAAAGCATTAGGAAACCCTCCTCATGAGGGGAATTCCTAATGCAAACTGTGTTTTTGTAAATGGTTATGGCTAGTGTTGTCCTTTTTGGGTATTAGACTCCTGGATACCCAAGATAAACAAATGTTTTTCGATGTGTTAATATGGGTGATATAAAATAAAACACGTTTGGGATTTTTTGGGTGTTAGAGGGTTTTTCCGGCGTTATATGAGCTGGGGTAGGGATTTTCAGGGCTGAGGTTGGGTTTTCGGGGTGTTAGAGGGTTTTTCCGGCATGGCTAGTGGTGAGTGGAGGTAGCAGCTAGGGGTGGGGGTGATCATGGCGCAGGACTGCAGTTCAGGGGGCAAGTGGGTTTTCGGGATGGTGTTATGGTGGCAGGACTTCAGGCGGCCATGGTGGGAGGAGAGAGACTTAGAACAAAAGAAGATTTTAACAGGTTATAAGTCAAAGAGATCGTTAAAAGAAGATCTCTGCCAAAGGTGGGATTGCTTTGGAATAATCGAGAGGTGGGATTGGTTTGGAATAATCGAAAGGTGGGATTGGTTTGGAATAATCAAAAGGGGAGATTGCTTTGGGAAGACGGAGCAAAAGAGGATTTTGACTAGACTTCAACCCTTACGGTTTCGGGAGGGAAGCGCTAAGCCTCTAACCGCCTGAGCTATTACTCACTCTCATCTCCACCCTCAAAGTGTCCCTAATACCTTAAGGTTGGAAAATGTAATATTTCCCCCTAGACTAAGCTTTGTATACTGAACTTGGATAACTCATATTAACCTTATTATCTTAAAATATACAGTATTTCATGAAATTGTTTTATCTGAGTTTCAATAATTCTTCACTTTATGGGCATAATTTTGTTTTAGAGTTCCCTTATGGTGGTGGTTTATGAGAGATAAAAGATGTCAATTCTTCAATTGTAACTAGATAAATTAGACTTTAATCAAATTCACGAGTATAAATGATCTAAATTCTAAATTGCATTGTAATACGATGTATGTTCTATAAGCAAAAATCATAATTTTTAAAAACTACTCCCTCTGTCCCAGTTTACTTGCAACATTTTGACTGAACACGTTTGCCGATGCACATGTTTGACCGTTGATATCTTTTATTATATTTATATAAGTTATAAAAAGTTTACATTAAGAAACTATACATTAAAATAGACCCAACAACATCTTACATGATTACATTTACTTTCATATAATAGTTAAAAAAGATGGTCAAAGGGAGATGTGTGAATAGTGCAAAAAGTCAAACCGTTGCAAGTAATTTGGGACGGAGGGAGTAATTCGATGTTGTATGACGTTTTATCAACAACAAGTAATTTTGTTTTTATTTTTGTAAAAAAAAAATCTCTATTTTTTTTTCTTTCTTTCTGATACTCGTATAGTGTTATTTAAGCCATCATTATTTCAACTAGCCTATATTCACTACTAGAATCAGGTCGATTTCCGACAAACACGTAAGTTTGTCGGAAAAACGGAAAAATTTCCAACGGATTTAAATTCCGTCGGATGTTTCCGACGAATTCAAAATTTTCGTCGGAAATCCGTCGAAAATTTCCGACGGAATTTTCCGCCGGGAATTTCAATTTCCGACGGATTTAAATTCCGTCGGAATATTTAAAAAAAAAACTTTTGTAAGCAAAACCCTAAAACACACTACACACACCCCTCTTTCCATTTCGCCCCTTCTCTTTCTCCTTCCCCTTTCTCTCTCATCCGTTCTCCTTCTCTCTCCTCTTCTCTTTGTTTCTCGTTCTCCTTCTCTCTCCTCTTCTCTTTCTCTCTTCTTCTTCTCTTTTTCTTCTTCTCTTTCATCTTCTAACCACTACCGGCGAAACTGATCGTCGAAATTGAACCAACACCGACATCAAGAACAACCAACAACAACAAAACCGCACAATAACCAGTTCGGGTTTTCAGTTTTAGGCAAAACGGTCTTTTTTCTCCCTTTCTCTCTTTTCCCATGTTCAAAACGAAGGTTTTCAGGTCAAATTCGACCATGAAAACTCTAGATCTAGAGTTTTGATGGTCGAATTTGACTTTGTAAACCCGATTTCAAGGTTTTGTGTGGTTGAATTAAGGTATGTATCTCCTTTTATTTTAATTTTGATTTTATTTTGTTGTTGTTTTTTCGGATTATGGTGGCGGCAGGTGTTGGTGGGTGGCGACATTTGGAGTTCGGATTTTGGGTTAGGGGTGGCGAGGTGGTTAGTAGATCTAGGTTGTATTGTTCGAATTTTTTGGATGTTTTGTTTTTATTTTTTTTCGGTTTGGGTGGGTCTGGTGAGGGTTTGGGTTGATAGTGTGATGTGGGTGCTGGTGGTGTGTGGTGACGGCTGGTGGTGGTTTACGGGTTTTGGTGGGTGTTGAGGTGGTTTAGTGTGTTTACGGGTTAGGTGGGCTGGTAGGGGTTAGTGTGTTTATGGGTTTTGGTTTTGGTGGTCGGGTTCTAGGTGGCGTTGGGCGTCTGATGGGGTGGTGGTACGGGTTAGGTTGGCTGGTAGGGGTGGTGTGGGGCGTTTTTTTTTTTTTTTTTTTTTTAAAAGCATTTTCCGAAGGACTTTTCCGGGCCGGAATATCTCTTCCGATGCATGATTTCCGTTGGAAATTCCGTCGAAGAAGTGTTTCCGATGGAAATTCCGTCGAAAAAGGTTGTTTTTCCTACAAATAGCTTTCCGACAACCGATTCCGACGGAATTTCCGTCGGAAAAATGGCCTATTTTTCAGTAGTGATTTCCAATAGTCAATTCCTTCAACTGCGTTAGCCAGTTTTACTAATCACCCAAAAATATGACACCATTAATGAGCACAGCTAATGAGTTCTTAAATTCATTCTATTATACAAAAATTAAAATTTAATGTAAGTCAGAGGTTAGGCCATTTCAGTGACTCAGTGAGTGGGTTCTACCATACTAAAAGTCACCCCATCTTCTACACTTCTTTTGCGCCACTTCTCACACTCTCAAACTACAACCTCCCACTCTCTCTCTACATTTTAGAGAGAGAAAGAGATCTACTAAATAATTTCACTGTAAATTGGGAAAATTTCCCAAAAAAGAAAAAATACCCACAAAAATATACTTAAAAAAAACCAAGAAATGGGAGAAAACAGAGCACTCTGTTTTTCAAGTTTAGTAGTGTTTCTCGTTCTTCTTGTAAATGGCATCAATGGTGAAAACCCATATCGAATGTATGACTGGAAGGTTACTTATGGCTATGTTTATCCCTTGGGTGTCAAACAACAAGTAAGTTCTTTAATCCCACCAACTCGTCTCCAAAAGTTCTTCTTATTTGGACGGTCATTGTCTGATTTGTCACACACAAAAAGTCGATACAGGAAGAACTTTTGGAGACTAAGGGACATCTAATATTCATGTATACGTTTCATTGAAAAATTCATGTTCATATATAGTTGAAATTATGTGTTTATGATTTTGTTGTGAAATATAATGCTATATTAATTTTCTAGTTGAAAGATACTACATTTTTGTTTGCACTAAAATAGTAAGTGATGCTTTATAATTAGATCTGAAAGTAATAGTGCTATCATAAATATGGCAAGTTCGTATGTGTTTTTTCAGAAATCTAAACTAACATATACTTGTATATTTATATTTACTTTTAGTAATTGTTTTGTTATTATGGTGTATTTCTCATAATGCAACTTTCCATTTAAGGTTTGATCTAATCGATATAAATTAAAAAAAGGTTGTATCCTAAAAATATCCCCATCAAATGGGCCGTCTACTTACTAGAGATACTAAAACTAGCAAAGCTACCAACAAAAAAGACAACTAACATGTTCTTAGCTAAGCAATACTAAGTAATTTAGATGTATTAATCTACTACGTATATCAATGGACAATGGAGTATGAAGTGATTTATGTGCATATGATATATGAAATTAATGTTTAATTTTAATGTATCAAGATCAAACATGTGATATCTATTGAAACCTTTCACAGTTAGCTCAGTCATTTAGTTTGTGTCAGTAAATTTTTATGGGTCCAATTTCTCGTTTACGGAGTAATTATTTTTCCTAATTATTTTGGCATTATTAGCGAATTTGGAGTTGGATATTCATGTAATGGCCTAGGGAGTACAAATTGGATCTTAAAACTAAGAGCATTATATGATGTCCAATTTATATCACGTGATTTAACTAACTCTAACATTCATTTCAAACCTCTTATTCTTTGGGTTCATAGTGTTAATGAAACTCTTTGTAACCTCCGTTTGTATTTTAATTGACACGTTTTGACTTTAAAACTATTCACTCACTCTCCTTAGACCGTATTTTGTATTATACATATTGATAAATATAGTTATATGAGATCTTGTTAGATTCGTCATGATTTATATTTTCAAAATATCAAATTTTTTATAATTTTTGTTTATCAATAATTAAAGATATTAATAGTTGAAATTATGTATTGACAAACGTGACTAAAGAAACGCGAGAAATGTTTTATAAAAAAAGAGTCGGAAAAGCTTTAAGATTCGTGATCAATTGTATGCCTTTGCGGCCTATCAATAATTATATAGATCTGTTACTGTGTTAATAAAGTGTAGACACAAACTCGTTTATCCGGTATAGTTTAAGGGGTGATAGATTATTAGATCGGGAGAGAATTCCGTCCATATCAATGTTTTTGATGGTGGCTTATGCCGCCATAAAATTGTTGCTAGGTTAGAATGTTAGATTAATAGAAATCGCGAAATTTACTCTAGTCTTTGATTGCGCTTGTACTTGATCCTTTTAGCTGCTTCATATAACTACATGAGCTTTTTAGATGTATATGTATACAAGTTTTGACCTTCTATATGCAGTAAATTTCTTAAACTCTCATATTTGGTAGCTTCATTGTCTCAAAACACTTGTATGGTATTCAAGTACTTCACTAAAATGTTGTTTACTATAGTTATTCAATTCTTGTAATAGTAACCCCATAATTATTTTTGACACAAGCACAAAAATCATTAATTTATATATATCGAAGACGGTTTTCCAAAGTTCAATCATCTTTTGCAAAGTGGGATTGAATAGTAAAATTTAGGTTACGAATCAACTAAATAAAACCTTAAAGAAAAGCAATAACGAAATAAGTAAATGACACGAGGAATTGGTGATGCGAAAAACCCAAAGAAGGTAAAAACCACGGGTAGAATGAGGATCTACCAAACTTTCACTATATAAGACGATTGCATGATTACAATGTATGATAGGTAGGTGTAAGTAGCTAGGTTGCAATGTCTATTCTATGCCAAATTGAATTTTCTCTCTCCACCCCCAAGATGAATTTTCTCTCTCCTCATGTTAACTCCATTAATCCATTGTTGAAGATCTTCTTTCACGACAAACACTTGTTCCCTATAGGGTTAACTATTCCCTTCATTTTATAATTTTTACTTAGGGTTTTCTTTAAATTCGATGGCAAAATTAAAGTTGAATTTACAAAGATTTCACCTCCGCCACCATTGATAGGTACGGACGTACGGGAAGGTGATAAAGAAATAAAAGCCGAAGAAACATGGTCGACTTTAATTGAATCCATGAATTGAATATGAAGAATACCATTTTCTCACTCCTCTAAAAGTACTTCACTTTTGAATTTCTAGTAAACGGCGTTAAGTTACGAGAGTTAAAATGCCACATCATCAAAACAATATTATTATAACAATATAATACAAACTCCAAGGCTACTATTTTCAAATATGCCACTTCCCAGCTTAACAACGGCTTGACCCTGCTGCTAATAGACTTATGCCTTGTTTGGTTCACCTTATTTTTACTGATGTGATTTGGTCTGATCTGATTATTTGATTTGACCAAACTTTAACCTTAAGTGTACGATAATTTATAAGGAAAAAATATATCAAGTGGGATTTTGTTAGATTCGTAATAATGTGTAGTTTATTAATATGTAATTTTCACAATTTTTTTCATTACGAAATTAAGAATATTTAGCGATAAAAAACCGCACATAAAACGATGTTCTGATCTGAACTTATTTTTTCTGATCTGAACTTATTTTTTCTGAAATAAGTAAAAATAAGTTGAACTAAACAAGACTTTAGTCTTTCATGCTTATCTCTTCCAGTTACACCCATTCCACTTGTCGAAGGACGTCAATTCTATTTCTCTGTCGTTGACTTTCTTTGACTTTAACCCCTACCAAATTCACCCATAACAACTATAAGTTCAATCATATTTTTCTACAGAGTACTTAAGTTACTAGTACTATTTTTGTAGAAATGTGAAAACGTTTCAAAGACATTCCAAAGTTATTTAGAATAGAAGACAAAATAAATACAACACATACATTAGTGAGACAACTTTATAAATTACTACCACTTCCAAATTTCCAATAGTACTTAATTCTTTTCACCCACACAACCTCCACTCGTGAATAACCCCAATCTATGAGCGGTGATTCTGTGACCAAACATCTATCTAAGCTTTTACACTTATAAATAGTTAAATACAAGTGCTCAAACTGGTTAATTAGACTAAAGAAAATAACCCAAAAACAATGAGAGGCAAATCACTTTGCTTCTCAACCTTACAACTACTCTTCCTTCTCCTTCTCCTTCTCCTAGTAAATGTCATCTATGCCGAAAGCCCTTATCGATTTATCTACTTAAAAGTGCATTATGGCATTCGTTACCCTATGGGTGTAAGGCAAAATGTACGTAAGTCTTTTTTGTCTATGTATATTATTAGTGATTTGTGGAGGTTCAGACGTATGCAATCTTATATATTTATTTTCCTTAATGCGCGTAACTAGTTAGTTGATTCCGATTTTAATGTGTTTGGGTTATGTGTTTGTGTTGCCAGGTGATTTTGATCAATGGACAGTTTCCAGGGCCACAAATTGACTGTGTGACCAATGACAACTTGATTATAAGTGTTCATAATTACTTGAATGAACCATTCCTTCTTTCATGGTAACTAACTACTACACCTATTAATCTCTTTATGTTTTATTTATTTTATTAATCCCTAAAGATTCTATATATATCATCCTTGAAATACTAATTTACGAGTACTGTAGATCAAGCGTTAAATGTAGATGCTATTTTTATATTTTATGGCAAAGATTTGTGGAAACTCGTTTTTTAGCAGTTTAGCACTGACTCGTATGAAATCTTCATAGCAACGTACATTTCAAAAAATAAAAAATATTTAATTTCCTATATCATTAAATATTTATCTAATTTATTATTTCAATTTATTTGAGAGAAAATAACTTACTATCGATTTGGACGTTTGGAAAATTGATAATTAAAGACTTAGTAATGAGTTTATATGTATATTTGCAAAATAATTAAAGGTTCATGTTTATATAATAATACGGAGTACTATTGATTTATTTATTTATTTCTTTTTTTTCCATTTTTTTCACCACTCGATACCAATTATTAAAAAAGGTTTTTGGAGAAAAAAGAAATATTTACTAGTCTATTGATTACAAATTTACAATAGGACAATGTACTGAGACATGTAGACTATAGTTCAAGAGAATAATGTGAAAGGTAACATGCATGAGCTAGTTAATCATTGACTAATTGCTGATAGCAAAATGCCATCTGTTAAAAGTTAGAGATCATAATAATGTCTTAACTTGCTAATTATGAAAATTGATAAGTACTCAGGTTAATTGGTAATTATCATGTTATACGAGTACACAGGAAATTTTTTTATAAATTTTTTTTTTGACAAGCTTATAAATAGTTAGTACGTAGTAGACTAGTAGTATATTATGAAATTATACTATTGGTATATTGGTACTTCACTCTTTACATTTGTTGATTAATAAGTGTAGTATGAGTAACAATAGTGTAACATAATTAGTTAATGGCGTAAAATGTAAGAATTTTTTTTAAAATTTGACTAATAAATGAACATGATGAGCGAATTATAGTCCGCACATATTTTACGGAGTAACATGTAAGATAAACAAATATGTGTACTCCAAAGTCCAAACTTCAATGTACTGAATATGATACAGTCATACGATACTACACGTAGTATACTACTCAATATTGTTTACGGTATTTATTTCTCTTGTGAAAAAGATCTCCTAGTAATTAGTGTGTTACATTGTAAACCCCATATATTTTCTTATCTATTTACATTTAAACGAAAATCATTGAGAGTAAGGGATAATTTAAGTGATTAGAGTTTCTCTTCCGATTTTAAAAAATTTTGGAATTGATTCTCAATACCCACCCTCGTGACTCTCCTAAAAAATAAAAAAAAAATCATTTATGAGTATTTCAGTCATCACTAATCACGTGGGATCCACACACGTGATTAGATCTCTGGTGCCGACTAATTTAGACAGAGCATTTGATTTGGGTAATGGGCGCACGATATACCTAACACGTAGGTCAAGTTCAAGCACTAAGCATAATCCTTTTCTTTTAAGGAATTATTATTATTTTTATGTTTATAATGGTCTGTCACTCCACTAACTTAATTGGGCTTTACGTTTTCATCACTTTACTCACTACAAATTTCAGCTTTTTTTCAATTATTTTTTGGACCTTTTGGGTTTTTTGCTCCAATGTTATTGTGTGCTATATTGTTGCTACTCATTCTATCAATACAGATTAAATTTTTTGTAGTGCAGCGTATTCCATCCGTTTCAAATTACTTGATTAATTTTTTGTATTGCAGCGTATTCCATCCGTCTTCAAAATATACATTAAACCGACATTAAAGTGATTACAAAATGACCATTTTTAACTACGTAACAAGAAATATTATAGAAATTGATATTTTAAAGATATACCATCAAGAGAAATCTAGCCGGATATAAAAATTACTTTGTACTTCGTATAGAATTTTGAGTTTAAAACCTATTAGTCTCATAATTTTGAATTTGAAGTTAATATGATGAGAAAGACATTGCGGGTCTATTATAGTTTTTTTTATGCAGATTCCAATTTACTCTAAATTTTTTAAAAAGTCACAATATTATGAGGCCGTTTCATATAGGGTTTTGCCATGCATTACATAGTCGAATAATTATTGTGGCCTCAATTATGCAGGAATGGGTTGCAACAAAGGAGGAACTCATTTGAAGATGGTATGCCAGGGACAACTTGTCCAATACCACCTAGAAGGAACTTCACATACATCCTCCAAGCCAAAGATCAAATTGGGAGCTTCTACTATTTCCCTTCTATCGGTCTTCATAAGGCTTCTGGTGGGTTTGGTGCCATCAGAATCTATAGTCGTCCTCGAATTCCAGTCCCTTTCCCTCCTCCTGCTGGAGACTTCACCGTTCTTGCAGGGGATTGGTACAAAAAAAGCCACAGGGTGAGTTCATATTGCTGATTACTGAGTACTACTGACACTAGTCAGTTTGTGTAAGGGCGTATTGGCATACATATGTGACATTACACGCTAAATTACACTAGACATGTTTGTATAACATCAACTTGTGTATTTTTTTGCAGCAATTGGGAAGAATGTTAGAAAGGGGTCGCAACATCCATATGCCTGATGGTCTTCTTATCAATGGCCGAGGATGGAATGGTTATACTTTCACAGTTGAACAAGGTAACTATTATATATCAGTACTCTTCATAATCTCTTTAGTACAATACTTGTGTATCACCAAAAGAACGAAACAGGAAGTAAATAATAGGAGTTAGCCTTAATATCTGGTACTGATGACTTTTAGTGTCTTTTACTACACCTAAACAGCTAATGGTTGTGTGCTCTGTAGGGAGAACTTACCGGTTTAGGATATCGAATGTTGGGACTGCAACATCCATCAACTTCAGAATCGCAGGCCACAAGCTTAAGCTTGTAGAGGTTGAAGGGACACATACCATGCAGACCAGCTACACTTCCCTTGACATTCACTTAGGGCAATCTTACTCAGTACTAGTGACAGCTGATCAGCCTCCTGTTGATTATTACGTTGTTGTCTCTTCGCGCTTCACTAAACCTGTTCTCACCACCACAGCCGTCCTTCACTATAGAAACTCTTGGAAGAAAGTCTCTGGCCCTCTCCCTCCCGGCCCCACCACACAAATTGGTTGGTCTCTCAACCAGGCCCATTCTATCAGGTATATGCGCGTGCTACATTACGATACTATGCCTTACGTTGTTATCCTACAGTATTATTACTCAGTGCATTATCTAATTACTGTCTTTGGAAATTTATGATATATGACCATGGTTAGCGCTTTCTACTCAGGATGAATCTGAGTGCAAGTGGCCCTAGACCGAACCCACAGGGATCCTACCATTATGGTCTGATCAAATTACAACGAACCATCGTGTTTGCAAACTCTGCTGCATATATTAACCAAAGGCAGAGGTATGCTATCAACAGCGTGTCATACGTGCAGGCAGATACACCCCTAAAATTGGCAGACTACTTCAACATCCCTGGCGTGTACTCCCCTAATAGTGTGCCTAGTTACCCTACATGGCGCCCTGCATACCTTAAGACCGGGGTGTTGCAGACTGATTACAGGACGTTTATTGAAATTGTGTTCCAGAACGAGGAAGATTCAGTTCAATCTTACCACATTGATGGTTACGCTTTCTTTGTTGTCGGGTAAGAGCCACATATCTTGTCATATCATACCCCTTTTTATATAATCCATTGACTACATATCCTAAAATCTGTTTTATTTTGGACGAGCAGGATGGATGGGGGACAATGGACTCCTAGGAGCAGAGCCAGCTATAACTTGAGAGATGCAGTTACTCGTTCCACCGTTCAGGTATAACTCCACATCACTTGAGCATGACTACATGTTCTAAACTCTAAAATCATCTACACTAACACGTTAGTAGTAACACCATATCTCGTGTTATTGCAGCACAAATTTATTTTTTGTGTGCTGTAGTATCTCGAAAAATTTGTTAATCTGAGGACATTTGCTTAGAAATAACAGTGCAAGTCAGCAAGTGATTAATGTTGCATACTAATAACAAGGGAAATGCTATGTGTATTCAGGTGTATCCAAAGGCATGGACCGCCATATATGTGTCATTGGACAATGTAGGAATGTGGAACATAAGATCAGAGAATTGGGTAAGGCAATATTTGGGACAACAGCTCTACATGAGGGTTTGGACTCCCTCTCGTTCGTGGAGAGACGAATATCCTATTCCTAAGAATGCACTCCTCTGTGGTAGGGCTAGAGGGCGTCATACACGTCCTATATAAGTTTTTTATTTTAGGCAAGTCGAGTCCTCGCTCAACTTCCTACCTCAGGAAAATGAGAGGGAGACTGAGAGAGTAAGGAGTCTAGAAAAGGGGGACGAGGGTTCAAACCTAAGAGCCACTCTCGGAAATTCGAGTAGTGCTCGAACTGAGCCACACAACACACTCTTTCTAAAGCAATACAGAGTATTAGTGTATGATTTATTTTAAAGGGTCACGAGAGGGTGACATAGTTTATTAATTATATTCGAGCTTATGTAACAATATTGCCATGACATTACGAGAAAAACTTTGTTTTAGGGGGAGGAGATTGAATTAGTAGGTTGTGAAATTAGGAATTGTTGTATCATGTTTCATCTCCCAAGTGTATTGCAAAAATGTAATTCTAGTTCCATTGTTTTAGTTCATTTTCGGGAATAAATTTGAATTCATTGATCATTTCATCATGTGAGGGTTTAATTAGTAGTCTTAAACTAATAGGAAAGTGTGAATTCAAATTTTGAGTTATGCCTTGAGAAGGTGTTTGTTTGGAGGGATAGAAAGAGGAGGATACGGATAAAAGGAAAGGGATTTAAATATTCTCTTGTTTGTTTAGGAGGATAGGGATAACATAAGAGAGGGGGATAGGGATAAAAATACAAGTTATCCCTTCAAAATAATAACTAGGGGGAGGTGGTATGAGGATTGGGGACAAAACAAAGGAGGTAAAATACATTTTTACCCTTAATGAAAGAAAGAATGAAGAAAGAGGAGAAATTTGAGTAAAGGTAGTTAATTAACTTTCTTACTTATTCCAATATAATTCCCAATTCATACCAAACAAAAGACAACCTCTTTTTTATACTTATCCCACTTACTAATCCTCAAAATTTATCTCACCCTTTTATCCTCCTTATACCTATCCCTCATACCAAACACCCCGTAAGTTTAATGTTAGAGATCATAAAGTATCTACTCCCTCCGTTTAATAATAATCGCAATTTTTGACCAGCACACATGTCGATGCACAACTTTGATAATTATATATTATTAAGAAGTATAAAGCCTTGATCTAATGAAAATATACATAAAGTCTAATATAAAATATTTTACATGACAATATATGTTTTTTATATATTGATAAAAAGTATAGCCAAAGTAAGCATATGAATAATGCAAAAGTTAAATTATTGCGATAATTATTATAAAATGGAGGGAGTACTATGTAAACAATAATATAACGAACACGTCCAATATCCCGTCAAAATAAATATAACACTTCCAATAAACGAACATTTTAGCTCAATATATATGAAGTAACTTTAACAATTGATTAAGTGGTACCAACACAAGAATTTTCATAAAGTAATACTTCGTATTTCATACATACAAGTATATATATAGCGCACACACATACAAAAAAAAAAAAAAAAAAAAAAAAAAACATATATAATTGTATGCAACACAACTGTCATGAATTAATGCTCATATAGTCTCATATGCAGAATATAAAAAAAATTAATTACGTAATAAAGATTTATATATTCAACTAAAATTTGACATTGACAAAATCATAAATTTTGGGAAATGACATGCATCGTTACATCCTTTAAACCCTCCCCAAAAAAGGACGAAAGATTATACTCGTGCAAGTGCAACAAATATTATACTATATATATCTAATATCTATATATGACCTCATAATAATATATGAAAATATTCAAAACCGTTTTGTTACAATGCACATAAAATTATTAAATAATTAAAAAGTGCAAAAATAAGCAAGTTATAAAGTTCATCAACCCACCGATTGCATGCATCGAAGAAAATTTAGTTACACTTTGAACTTCCTAATTTTTAATTATTTGACGGTGCCCTCTTTCCAATTTTGCCAACGTCAACCTTCTCTATTTGTCAACTCTCAAAAAATTTAGAAGAGAATATTAAATTTAAATTTATTAAAAGCTCCTGGAAATTAAATCCAAAATAAATACGTAGTATTTTAAAACTGAAAGAATAAGAGAATTTTGTATATGGTGCATGTTGACATCTGTTAAGACTCTTAAGAGTTTCAGACCTATGCTTCACTCCCTCAACGTATACTTGTACACTAAAAAATGTGGATTGCTAAACATCGCCCGCAAATCTCCACATAAAGTCCACAAACTTATATTGAAGTTACAATATTGCCCTTGACCTTAAAAAAAAAAAACACAACCTCAATAAAAATCAAAGTACGGGGATGTCGAGGCTCGTGGCGGCAAGGTGGTTGGCTCGTGGCGGCAAGGTGGTGGTGGCGCCAGGTCCGGCAGCCACGTCCACCGGCCTGGCGTCTGGGCAGGACGCCCAGCCACGGTGAGTGGCGTTTGGGGACAGGCGCCAGTCACTGTGGCTGGGCGTCCTGCCCAGACGCCAGGCCGGTGGACGTGGCTGCCGGACCTGGCGCCACCACCAGCCACGGGCCGTCCTGGCCAGGCGCCCCAGCTGCCTTAAATTTTTTTTTTTATTTTTTTTTTTTTGGAAAATCAGAAAATGTTTCTAATTTTTTTTTAATGTGTTTGATTTTTTTTTTTTAATAATTATTAATTTTATGTGTTATTTTTTATAAGTCTAGTATATATATTTTTTATAAAATCAAATAAAAAACATAAATTTCCACATCCTAAATCAAAACATAAATTTAATAAACATAATTTAAAAAAAAAAGGCAAAAAAAAAATAAAATTAAAAAGTAAGGGCGGCGTCCAAACCAGACGCCAGTGCACTGGTGGTGGCGCCTGGCCTGGACGCCAGTGCACTGGTTGAGGCGCCTGGGCTAGACGCCAGTGCACTGGTTGTGGCGTCTGGCCTGGACGCCAGTGCACTGGTTGTGGCGCCTTGCCTGGACGTCCTTGCCATGGTTCCGGCGTCCAAACTAGGCGCCACCTCGTTTTCCGTCGAAGACGACGTATCTCCGGCGACCCTCGCCTCTCCGGCCTCCCTGGGCAACCCAGTTTGACTCCACATTTGTTAGATCGAGATTTGTTCACTTTGGGTACGGTTTTAGAAATGGGCAAAATTGTCAAACCATGTCTAATTTGTGGGCTTTATGTGGAGATTTGCGGGCGATGTTTAACAAATCCCTAAAAAATACCCCAACTAATCTAATATATATATAAATAAAGTAAGCATTTTTCAAGAGCATTCGGCGCGCCACGTAAGAAAAGATATTATTTCGACCAATAAAAATAAAGAAAGATTTGTATTTTATTTTTGAATTAAAAAATTATATCGCCACCTACATAAAAGTAACGAATTCGATTTGATATATCTAAAATTTTAATGCCAAGTAGATTATAATCTACAAATTAAATTATTTTAATGAAAAAAAAGTAAAAATATAGGAAAAGATAAATTTATTAATTCAATACGTATAAGAAATCCAAAAAAAAATATACTAAGAAATATTTAAATGATAAACGCTTATAATAAAGTTTGATACCTATCATTATAAGATAAATTTTGATAGTATTTATGATAAGAAATACAAATTGTTCGTTAATTATAATTAAATTAAAATTTGTGATACCTACCATTATAAATTGACACATCATACGACACAAACAAAATTTCGTATCAATAAAAAACCCTTTCAAGCGAATTTTGTGTTAGTAATTTTGTTAATTTTTGGTCATCAATGGCCGGGTAATTTTTAGCTTAATTTTTAAAATCCTAAGTTTAAATTAGTATTTCTAATTATTACTTACATTGTATTAATTTGGTATACTCAACGATTATATGTTTATGTTTTATTTACTAAATGTTTTTTTACATGCAGATCTAACACATCATACGACACAAATAAAATTTCGTATCAATACAAAACCCCATCAAGCGAATTTTGTGTTAGTAATTTTGTGTTAGTTGTGTTAGTAATCTTGTGTTAGTTTTAGGTCATCAATGTCCCGATAATTTTTAAAATATTATGTTTAAATTCATATTTGTAATTATTAGTTACATTGTATTTATTTAGGATACTTAATGATTATTTGTTTATGTAATGACATACGATTAGATATTGTATACTTAATATATGGATGGCTTTGGTTATTTTTGGAGATGATGAAAAAATTCCAATGCATAGATTTGATTTTATATCGCAACAATTTTTCATTTATTGGTAAATATATTGATTTATTTTATATAAATGTAAAGATTTAATTTATATCAATTTTAGTTTGGCTAACATTTCTCGGTTCAATTTATCCACTGATGTAGTAGGCTGGTTGTGGACGAGGTTGGTGATTCTATCGAAATAAAAGATATGGTAAAACAATGAATAATGATTTAGGATTTAAATTTATAAAAATTTATCATTTCACATTAAAAATTTTATATAACGAAAAAAATATCATATTTATAATTTATTTATATTTAATAAATTCATTATAAATTATAGTAAAAAAAAAAGTAAATATTAAAATTTTGTAATTTTGTCTAAAATTATTAAATACAATAAATCAATGAATTAAAAATCTTAGATGAAAAAACCGTGCATCGTACGGCCTTCCATCTAGTCTACTTTAAAGCCGAACCACACTATTATTTCTCTGATTCCAAAAATCGAGCAACCTGAGTCGCCTAACCATTTTCGCCCTATTAGCTTGGTAAACACAGTTTATAAAGCCATTTCTAAAATATTGGTCACCCGCTTATGTCCAATTCTCAAAAAATCAATTAGCCAGCTACAAAATGCTTTCATGCCAGATCGTTCTATTCATGATAACATACTTATCGTTCAAGAAGTACTGAATACTTTTCAAAAATTGAAGAATAAACGGGGTGGTGTGCACTAAAATTAGATATGGAAAAAGCCTACGATAGGATCGAGTGGGACTTTCTTTGGGAGTGCCTTAAAGCTTTTGGATTTCCCGAACAATGGATTAATTGGATTTAAGAATGGGTTACTACTGTGTCGTATTCTCTAAAAATAAATGGGGAAACGACCGAATGGTTTAAGCCTTCTCGAGGTTTGCGGCAAGGAGACCCCTTATTTCCTTATTTATTTATCCTATGTATGGAGGTAATGATCAGGAAACTCTCTTTAGAAAGCTCGAATCGCAAATCAGGTATTGGTTTAAAAATTTGTCCAAGATTGTTCAATATTCCTTGCTTGCTATTCGCTAATAATAGCCTTGTCTTTTGCAAGGCCACTTCTTTGGCTTGTCGTAAACTAAAATCAGTGTTGGATGAGTTTTGTGGGATATCTGGTTAGCTAGTAAATTTCGATAAATCATCTATTATCTTCTCCAAGAACGTTGCTAATAATCGAAAAGCGAGTTTAGCTGCCAACTTTAACATGACGCCAAAGGCTTCCCTAGGTAGATACTTAGGAGTGCATTTTAGTTCCTATCATCCTACTAAACGTGATTACAGGAATATTATATAAAAAACAGAGCAGTGCATCCAACACTAGGAAG